AAGGTTTGACCTTTGCTATGGCCAATTGTTCTCTCAATGCTTTAATCTCCATCTCGGCATCATTATTTGGAGCGGTATTACATCCCTAAAGTGCCCATAACTACAAATGTTGTTACATCAAAATGATAGTCTATCATCAAATAGTATTACTTGAGCTGGAGTATTAGTCACCGCGGTTTCCCAGAGGTTACTCCGTGTTCGTCTCGCTCGCTGCCGCCGTTTGGCTGATGAACTGAGCTCAGCCATAATGACGATTGCAAAGTGTCACCAATTCCAACGAACTGCCCTATAGGAAATAAGCGAAGGACATAACACATCAATGGACCACAAAAAACTAACACTCGAATGAGTGGTCAGCCACAAGGGATAAGACGCATCAATGAAGGCCTTTCACAAAGGGCTGACACTTTACTGAATGATCAGCCACAAGGGATAAGACACATCAATGAAGGCCTTTCACAAAGGGCTGACACTTTACTGAACGATCAGCCACAAGGGATAAGACGCATCAATGAAGGCCTTTCACAAAGGGCTGACACTTTACTGAATGATCAGCCACAAGGGATAAGACACATCAATGAAGGCCTTTCACAAAGGGCTGACACTTTACTGAACGATCAGCCACAAGGGATAAGACGCATCAATGAAGGCCTTTCACAAAGGGCTGACACTTTACTGAATGAGGGAAGCCAATGTGATTCCTGAACAACATTCAGGAATCACATTGAAAAAGTCATCCCCAAGGATTAGCGGCTACCGGCGCTCTAGACATAGACCTCAGTAGCTTGTAACGGTAGTTACCAGCAAGTGGCCACACCCCTCCGCGACAGCGGAACACACCCTCCTATGGAACAAGACACGCTCTACACGATGGACATCTCGGGGCCTTTGGATTCGCAATATCCATTGATATATAGCCATATGAAGTTACCACATATGGACCTACGGGACTTCAACAACTAACCCTACATACCTGCATAGGTGCACAAAAAACTTAAAAACATATGCCCCAGGTATCGAACCTGGGACACGCGCATGAAAGGACAACACCTTAACCACCACACCACATCATATTCATACAAATCATAGACATTTACTCCAAGTCCGAAAGTCTGAATCTTTAAATACATAACCCAGGAATCGAACCTGGTTTACGTGCATGAAAGGCCAACACCTTAACCAATACACCATATCATATTCATACAAATCATAGACATTTACTCCAAGTCCGAAAGTCTGAATCTTTAAATACATAACCCAGGAATCGAACCTGGTTTACGTGCATGAAAGGCCAACACCTTAACCAATACACCATATCATATTCATACAAATCATAGACATTTACTCCAAGTCCTAAGGTCCGAATCATTAAATACATCATCCAGGAATCGAACCTGGTTCACGTGCATGAAAGGCCAACACCTTAACCATTACTCCATACTACAATCACAAACATATAAGGCCCGGACATTAGGGTCGGAAGACTTACCCATGAGACAAGTATTAAAGGTCGAATACCTTACTTCACGTGAAGATCAACAAACACTTAGTTATTCCGCTAGAAAAACATTCGATGATTGAAATCTCCAAAGATGTTCAACTGGTCATACGATTTCAGACGACTCACGGCTACATATGCTTGTCCCTTCTGCATCAGAGGAGGGCAGTCGAAATAGATCCCAACCGGAGTACTCAGAGTTGCACCTTGACTCTTATGTATAGTAACACCAAACGCACATCTCATCGGGTAGTACCACACATATTTGTCATTATCATACAACGGATATACACTCACCAGATTACCAGTAGACGTACGACACAGTACGTTTTTTCCATCGACATAAATTGGAGTTACCAACATACCGTTCACGAAATCGGCGGATTTGTCAATGTTCGACGTGAGCAAGTAACGATCTGTTAGTCCCAACACAATAGGCATAGGACTATAAAATGCATCAGTAACTGTCATGGCCACCGGATGATTAGCAGCAAGTACTTCAAAAGCAGCCTCGTTAATCTCATCACAAGCCCTATTAGTCATAGTCAAGATGACTCCATCTTCATGTTGTGTGAAGAACTCTAATAAATCCCGCTGTCGTATAGGTCTATGACCGAAAGTACGACCTTGACGAAAATTATTACACATCTGGGCGGTCAGGCGCTGTTCTCGACATGCTTGCAAGAAAGCGTTTAACACATTATCATTGCCAGACCTATGATTGGTATGCAGTTCCATACCATCAGCAAATGCCAGAAGGCGCTCGCTACGCGCAGCACTCAAGACAGTTGTAACATGACCAGAACGAAGTTCAGTTAGAGGTTGCAATTGGTCGAAATCCCCAAAAAAGATCAAGACTTTTCGTCGTTGAGCAACTTCACACTCCCATTGCCGGATAATATGGTTACAATGAAAGTACGTCACCATGCTGAGTTCATCCACCAAAAATACATCAACATTAGGCCACACTGGAGAAGGCTTATTTCTGCTTGAATTCGAACCAAACCCAAACGTAGCATGGCAAGTATCGATAGTAATAACATCCTTCAAGTCAGGGTCATTTAGCAACTTCTTGAAATTAGATGCTAGTTTGCCCGTCGGTGAAGAAATACTCACTCTCATTCCGATACGTATAGCCAGAAAAGCCATATGCAACATCAGTAGTGTCTTTCCAGTACCTACAACTATCACTAAACTTATTACAATATTTTCAAGCATAACCTATACCTGGCGGGCCTGTCACCACCATTGGTCGTTGCTCATTGATTGCATCCACAGCGTCATCATCGAGAATATCAGGTGAATAGTTCTCATCATCCACCGATTCACGAATGATGTCAAGATTATGCTCCGCAAAATACTTCATACGAGATGCACACTCCATATAAACATGCAGCTGTTCGCCACGCAGATTAGGCAAGTTACCAAGGTCTGCAATACGCATTTGTTGAATTCTGTCATAATTCATACGACAATACCGAAGCAACGTTACTTTTTACTGAAGTGTCAGCCCTTTGTGAAAGGCCTTCATTGATGTGTCTTATCCCTTGTGGCTGATCATTCAGTAAAGTGTCAGCCCTTTGTGAAAGGCCTTCATTGATGCGTCTTATCCCTTGTGGCTGATCGTTCAGTAAAGTGTCAGCCCTTTGTGAAAGGCCTTCATTGATGTGTCTTATCCCTTGTGGCTGATCATTCAGTAAAGTGTCAGCCCTTTGTGAAAGGCCTTCATTGATGCGTCTTATCCCTTGTGGCTGACCACTCATTCGAGTGTTAGTTTTTTGTGGTCCATTGATGTGTTATGTCCTTCGCTTATTTCCTATAGGGCAGTTCGTTGGAATTGGTGACACTTTGCAATCGTCATTATGGCTGAGCTCAGTTCATCAGCCAAACGGCGGCAGCGAGCGAGACGAACACGGAGTAACCTCTGGGAAACCGCGGTGACTAATACTCCAGCTCAAGTAATACTATTTGATGATAGACTATCATTTTGATGTAACAACATTTGTAGTTATGGGCACTTTAGGGATGTAATACCGCTCCAAATAATGATGCCGAGATGGAGATTAAGGCATTGAGAGAACAATTGGCCATAGCAAAGGTCAAACCTTTGGATTCCTTAGCAGTTATTATTCTCGGCGAAGTATTGGGAGTTCAGAACGCGAGGTTGAGAACACCGCTGCGAGGACTCATGCCGAGATGGAGGTCAA